GCACTGCTGAGGCCACACCTCGAGTGCTGTGTCCAGTTCTGGGCCCTCCCTGCAAGAAAGACCCTGAGGGGCTGGAGTGAGTGCAGAGAAGGGAACGGAGCTGGGGCAGGGTCTGGAGCACCAGTGCTGTGAGGAGCAGCTGAGGGAGCTGGGGGTGTTTATCCCAGATAAAAGGAGGCTCAAGGGTGACCTTACTGCTTCCTACAACTGCCTGAAAGGAGACTGTGGCCAGGTGGGATTTGGCTTCTTCTCCCAAGTAACAAGCGGTAGGATAAGAGGAAATGGCCTTACGTTGTGACAGAGAGGGTTTAGATTGGGTATTAGGAAAAAATTCTCCAAGCACTGGGCCAGGCTGCCCAGAGAAGTGTTGAAGTCACCAACCTGGAGGTGTTTAAAAGATGTGTGGATATTGCTCTTGAGGACATAGTTAAGTGGTGAGCTTGGTTAACACCAAGAACTGGGTTAACAGTTGGGCTCTATGATCTTACAGGTACCTTCCAACCTAAAGAAGCCCATGATTATGTAGGGCACATTCAAAACATCATCCACTTTATTGATGTTACATTTTTCTCCAGGATGGAATTGAGCTAAGAACTTCATGAGATCTGAAATGTGATCAGACTTTTTGTAGGTGTACCCATGCACACCATTCCTAGACACAAAGATTACGTTAGAATTACCTCTGGTTTTCTAACTTATTCAATACACTGAATTCTTGCTTGTTCAGAGCTTCTTTTCATCTAGTTGTCCATTACTTGTATTAGTATTTCATCTCCCTAACTTCTTTCTTGTCTCCCTAATGGTTGTTAGACCTTACATGAGGAGCTGTTCAGCTGTCATATATTATGCATCCTTGCTGTGAGATGGAAATACATTGCACATGCACAGTTAAGGAAAGTTGAAATGTACTTACGTTCTTTCTCTAGTGTTTGCAGAAGCAGAACACCTCCAGATAGAGACCTTTAGGAAAAGGAGAGGAGTTGGCCCTGTCACTGCTGCAAGGTGGTGTAGCTTCATCAGAAGTGATGCAGTTATACGCATATATCTTATGCATCTTCATATATGCATCTATGTAACTACACTGATTCCTTTGAGAACTGGCTGTTCAAGTACTTGTCTACACCTGGGCATATTCATGTGTGCAGGTGCCTGAGCCCAGACACAGTGAGGTGTCATAATTATTCTAGTTTGTGCAGGAGTACACACAGAGAAGGAAATTGTTTATGTGGTTTATATTGCTGCATGGAGTCATTCACCAGCACAGATGGCATTACAGGCTGCTTCACTGCTGAGATCCTCTGTTTGGCATTGTGCCTGGAGTCTAGTATAGGAGCCTACAAGGTCCTGGCCCTTGAGCAGAAACCCTAGCCTATGTTAGTGCTGTGTCTGTTGCTTTTAGAGGGATGTTCTTTGTTTCTGAGTTTCCTGTGTGAGGAGGTGACTGGCTCCCTCCATTCACAGTTCAGTGCAAACCAACACTCAGACAGTCTGGATGCTCAGGAAACTTTAGGCACATGGACGCTTAAGTCCAGAGCTACAGGGTAAGGAGTATCATCCATCCATCCATCCATCCAGATAATTGCTAAGATCAATAGTGAGATAATAACCTTGTTGCCTTGTGATTGCAGCTGTGCTAGGCAAGGCAAGTCTCATGGACAAGTTAAATAGATCTGTGCAGACACAAAGACCTTAGAGTATTAACACTGGGCTAGGTATCACACATTTTAAAATGACACTGAAAGGCTGGGCAGAACAAATGTCAGAGACCAGGCTCTGTGCAGCCTTAGATTAACTGTGGTGCACACATTGTGAAATGGTCATGAAAGCAAGGTTTGGTCTGATGTTTTTTTACAGTTGAATGGTACCAAATCCTTTAGCCTTACATTGTCAGGGTTATTACAAAAGCATTATTTCTTGTTATTGCAAGAAAATATAATGAGTCAACTGAATTTCTACCCCAAAGAAATATCAGATTTTAATTCTGAACACTCTCTTGATGAATTAGAGTAAGAGACCTTTGTTATAACAGGGGTTTCATGTACTGGGTTGTAAGATTTTAGCTTTGCTTATCTAGATGTCAAAATACCAAACATTTAACAGCACAATGTTTGGGAAGTAGTTTGTATAGCAAGCAGTGCAATTTTATATCTCAGTGGTCACACAAAACAGTGTTTTAAATAAAAAAATGCTCCTTAGGATTGTAAGAGGCAATTTGCCAATATTTATTCAATAGCTTTATCTTTTGCTAGTAGCTATTCTGAAATAGTCAGATAAGATATCCTGCTAAAGGTCACTTGAAAATAACACATACAGCTTATATACCATAAATTATTTAAAATTAAAGCTTCTTGTGAACAGATGAAATGGATACTAATTTAAGCTAATACTCTTGTATCAATCTGCTGCAAAGATAGTGAAGTTTTGTTCTACTGCTCTGTGTTAATGTCTGGCATATTGGTAACAGGAAGCAAGGCATATTCTCACTGCACGCGAGTCTTGACCCCACACAAATAGAAGCTTATTGCTAGTACAGGTAGCTGTTAATTGCAGCCTCTTGTCTCTCCTGGCACAACAAAAGTAAAATATACAGTGGTCTTATGGTGTTTCTATAGAAAGGCTGGAAAAATACTCAACTTTTGCCTCCTTGCATAACTAAAGGAATTTATATATCCTGTGAACAAAGGATGACATTTGTAAACAGAGCTGACAAAAAATCATTAAGCATTGTTTTTGTAAGACGATCTGTTCTTAGTCATACTGTTTCTTAGATGTATTTATTCCAAAATACTATTTGTACTCTTCTTGTGTACATGTCATATTTTGCAATCTGAGAATTTATGAAGAAGGATCTGAGCAAAATTGTGTCAATTTCATCTGTTATGTAGGAATTTTTTCTTAGTATTTGACAAAAATTTAATTATTGTAGTGAACTTGGACTAATTTGCCTGCTTTTTTACTGGGCTTTCTAATGATTATTTTGTTTACCTTTTTTCTCAAGAGTAAATCGTCATTTTACTGCTGCCTCACTATTTAATTAAGAATTACTGTTTTATCTAATTCTCTTGAACTCAGAACATGAATATGAAGAGTTACAATCCAAAAATGGGAATGGATGTTTGACTAACACATTCTTCTGTGAACTGAGATTTTAAAAATACATAAATTTTCAAGAATATCAAAACATTAATAGAAACAGATGTGCATACTTACGGCTCAAAACAACTGAAGTGCATGTTCAGAGTAGGGAACAGAGCAACTTCTGGGTAGGTGGTGCAGCCACTGCTCCACCCCCCACCCGCTGGAGCCTCTGGCCCAGCCCCTTGGTAGCCTCTGGCTACTAAGCCACTGCCTCGCACCCCCCTGCCCCACAACTTCCTTTTCTGAAAATGTGTGCTACTTAAAACTGGAGTTTGCTAAGCAAGTGCTTTGTTAAGTGCCTTACTTTTACTGGATATTGCTTTAAAATTTGCCAAGTACTTTATTCTCTCAAGTTTGCAAATAAAAGTTTGCTATCAACCTCCTGAGAAGTTTGTTGTCTCCTGAGGGTGTTGAAATACCGCAGCCCTTTCAAACACTCTAACACCATTCCTGTGCTGTACTTCTTTCAGCTGTTAAAAGAGACAAGTGTAGAAAATGCTCTCACCAGACAGAAAGGGGCACAGTTTCAAACCAGTCATGTATCTAACTTTACCCGAGAGGTTAATACTCCGGCGTGCAGGCTGTCCTGAGATGTCCCAACTACACATTAAGGATGTTCTTTCCCAGAGTCCTGAATTACTCAAGTAAGCTTTGGGAGCATGGAGGAGGGTGGAGGATTAGCCCACAGCTTATTCACTGGGGGACAAGGATTCTGGGAGGGTTGCCCAGTGCATGCTCAGAACAGAACAGAACATCTAAAGCTGCAGTGGGTGGAGGATGTTGTTTCCCAATTCAATTGGGAATTGTTACCCAATTCAAGCTGTCAAAGAGACTATGCTATAATGTGGTGGTTTGTATTTTAGGAGTCCTGCTTTAACATTGACTAGTCCTATTGAGTAGTGAGGTCAAGACTTTTGAGTTTGAATGTCTGCTGCCAATATATATCTCAGCCTTAGGTTGCCCTGATT